AGCATTTACAACACCTTTTGGTTTATATGAATATAACAGAATGCCGTTCGGATTATCAAATGCTCCGGCTACGTTTCAAAGACTGATGCAGCAGTGTTTTAGAGAAGAGATTTTTTCAGATTCTACCTATTTTCTTCGATGATATTATTGTGTATTCAAAAATGATGGATGAGCATATTCAGCGCTTAGATACAGTATTTACCATTTTGAAGAAACACGGATTAAAATTGAAAATTAAAAAGTGCAGTTTTTTTTCCAAAAAATCTGTTCGTTACTTAGGTCACATTGTCAATCAGGATGGCATATCAACAGATGAAGAAAAAATTAAATGTGTAAAAGACTGGCCAGTACCTCAAACACTGAAACAATTGAAGTCATTCTTAGGATTTTCTGGTTACTACAGGAGGTTTATAAAGAATTTTGCGCAAATATCATCTCCTTTGTTACAACTTTACATAGATTTTCATTAACATCCAAACAAGAAACTGGAATCAAAATGGACTTCAGAGTGTCAACAAGCATTCAACCAGCTAAAAGAACAATTGACTTCCGCTCCATTATATGCTTATGCAGACTTCAGTGAACCGTTTATATTGGAAATAGACGCCAGCATAAGTGGATTAGGAGCTGTCCTTTCCCAAAAACAAGACGGAAAATTACGAGTAATTGTGTACGCAAGTAAAACATTGAAACCAAACGAACGTAAAATGAAAAACCTGAGTAGTGTGAAACTTGAATTACTGGCATTAAAATGGAGTGTTACCGAAAAATTCCGGGATTACTTGATTTACAAGAAATTTACTGTGTACATGGATAACAATCCTTTGCATTATTTATCTTCAGCAAAATTGGGGGCTTACATGTACGAACAACGTTGGGCGTCACAACTTGCAAATTTTGACTTCGATATTAAATACCGCTCTGGAAAACATAACACAAATGCCGACGTACTATCGAGATTGCAGTGTTCTGAAATATTGTGCAATGTCACTGGATTATCTGCAATTCCAAGTGATTTGAAACAGATGGATAGTTTAAGTTCAATTATTTCTGAACAGTCCATATTTCCGGAAATTGACAATGTTAAGATCAAAAAATTACAAATGAAAGACAAAGCAATATCTACATTAAAACAGCACTTGATCAACAAAACTGTGCCATCTGTGAAGTTTATTAAACAACAAGACAAAATAACTGGATTATTACTGAAACAGATTCAACGTGTATTTGTGTGTGATGGAGTCTTATACAGGAAAGTGTCAGACCCAAAGTTAGGTGAATCGAAACAAATTGTGTTACCAATATGTATGAAAAACATCGTGATGGAAAGTTTACATGACCATACAGGACACCAAGGTATTGAAAGAACAGTGAACCTAGTAAAACAACGATGTTTTTGGCCAGGCATGTACAATGATATCAAGGACTATTGCAAAAAGTGTGAGCGATGTTGCCTAGCAAAACTTCCTTCACCTGAAGTCCATACTCGTCAGGAACATCTGATCGCTTCTGAACCTTTGGAAACTGTCGCTATTGATTTCACGATATTAGAACCAGCGCAGGGTTTCGAAAACGTTTTGATAATCACAGATGTATTTACCAAATGGACTATAGCTGTACCTACCAGAAATCAACTTGCTCAAACTGTGGCCAAAGTGTTGGTTAACGAACTGTTTTGCAAGTTCGGAATATGTAAACGAATTATGCGAGCGTTTTATTAGAACTCTGCATAACTTACTTAGTACTTTGTCTCCGTACAAAAAGAAACGATGGCCAGATTACATTAGAGAAGTGGTGTTCGCATATAATGTTACCGTTCATTCATCTACTGGATTTACACCATACTATCTTATGTTTGGACGTGATCCTTACCTTCCAATAGATTTTCTCTTAGGAAATGATTACAAGAGTCAAACACAGGACTTGGACCGATAGATTCAACAACATAAAGAAAAAAATCAGCTTGCGTATCAACGTACACAACAAGAAACCAAACATACTGCAGAGACGAGGAAAGAATCCCATGACAGACTTATCACAAATGCAGAAATTTCCGTTGGCGACAATGTGTATCTTAGAAATCGCAACTTCCGGAAACGTCATAAAATTCAGGATAATTGGAGTGATGTTCCTTACGTGGTTACTGGAATTCCTTTTCAAAATTCTTCTGTGTTTCGTGTTGCAAAAATAAAAAATCCATGTGTTGAAAATGTTGTGAATCGATCCGAAGTCAGGAAATGTTCTTTGTGATGTATCTATATTTCTGGGATATAGTGTTCTATGAAAGTGAACGTTGAGAGTGATATGTATTATATGTTATGATTTTGAATGTTTTTCAGATTTAATGCATTAAATTCTGATTTTTTCAGGCATTATTTATGGTGATAATTGAATGAGCCACGTTGCATTTAGCACGTGTCTGGGAAATTGATTTTTTGTATATATTTTTGCACGTAAAAGTATCGTCGTTTCTTTGCTTTTCAGGTGATGATACATGTAAATTACCTATTATCATTGCTTGTGCTGAGGACAGCCCAATTTGTTTTGGCCGGGGAGTCTGTGACCAAGTAATTGCATATTTTAATTCATATATTTATTTAGGCTAATACCGTACTCACTTTTGTTAACTTATTTTTGATTCGATTATTGAATTAAGTGAGTATGATTCTAACATTTTGTAAAGGCTTTTGTCGAACACCATTCTGCAATCTCATTCCTGACTGGCGTATTTTTTAAATAAACTCAATCCACTTGCACAGTAGTTTTAGGTATAAATACTCATGTTCGATTGAAATTACTTGTCCCACCAGCCAGTTTTCAAGGTCACAACTCCTGGAGGCCGTGCTGTCCATAAAGACACATGCCATTGTCGTTTATTGCTGTTTAATAAAGATTTAAACGTGACCTGGTCTTGTTTCTGCTCGGTTACAAAAGGCACTAAGATGAGCTCCCCAGTTATCCCTACGCCATTTCTGTGATGTTGCATGAATCTCAAAACGTTGGATGTAAGCATCAATATTATCCTTCGAGTCATCAAACGCAGGAAGTTTTAGTCCTTTATTGGTTGATGCATTTCAGTACCGTGTGATGATGAATCCAACATTTTGTGAGACCTTTCAGCTGCTAGTAGTTAGAATTTATGATCAAGTTCCATTTCTTCCATCTTACGTTTGTGTTCGGAATCGGCAAAATGTTCTTTGCTCTCTTCCATCTGTCGAATGTGTTCACGTTGCTCACGCTCTCTTTCTGTACGTTCTCTTTCCAGCTGCAGCTGATGTTCACGTTCCTACTTCGACTTTCTTTCTTCTCATTGTCGTTCTCGTTCATCACGAAGTCTAGATTGTTCTTCTTTCACAAAATTTTGTAGAGCCTCATCCTTGAATCCCGTCTGAGTTCCAAGTTCCAGTAGCTCCTGCATCTCCTTCACAGTAGACATGATGGATGACTAAACTGAACTACCTTACCAACTTTTAGTCCAAAGGAATAATAGTCTTACTATATATATTTATCAAAGATCTTACTCAGCCAGCTTACCTTAACTTAAGTATCATAAGGGAGAGCCATCACTTCACTCACCAAAGCTGATCTGCATTAATGTTGCCCTTAGCTACTCACTCTTAACTAAGGCTAACTAAAATGAAAAATATCAATTAAAATTAATCTTGGCAAATCCTTACTATTGAAGAATTCTAGTTTGATTTAAAAAGAGATCTGTCATCCCACCACTGCCACCAAATTTGCAACGTGGAATGAGCCAGGCTTTCCTTTTCACATCAAAACAAGAATTTCTTCAAAGAAAACAAGAATTTATTTACAAAAAAAATAATGAAAGACAATCAACTTATAAATCACGCAATCACACACACGCACACTCACTCAAATGATCGAACAAAAAAAATGTTATTTACAATGAGAGAAAAAAATAATCAATAAATTTTTAATCAACTGTTTTCATCAACTCAAACCTATCAACATTGCCAGTATTGTCCACATCAATACGAAAGTCCACACAATTCGGATCAACACTATCCTCCAAACTTCCGGGGCTGTAGTCCTTGACTGTTGTTTGAGGATCAGTAGTATTGATGCACGACTGCTAGTGATTCCCACGCCTAACCATCATCATCGACTTCGTCTTCATCAACATCATAATTCACATCATCGTCATCGACATCATAGTCGTCATCATCACATCATCGAAATCATCATCGACATCATCGTCGTCATCAACATATCATCGACATCAAAGTACTCAGAACACCTCAGCATGGTGCTAAAATATTAACTTTCCTTTACCAGTAAATGATTATGTACTCTGCATTTGGCAATACTTTAATACAATTATACTGGCTTTAATTAATAACCATATAGTTATGTTTGAGTTCAGTATAACATAAACAATAAGATGCTTTTAATATCTTCAGTTTGTTTACAGTTGACATAGATACAGAATGGCTGACAATACTTCCGGTCACTTACTTCCGCTCAGACATTTAAATGAAAAAGTAATACAGCGAACAAAAATACAATAAAATACAGAAAAAGCTGTTCTTTAAATGTATAGAATTACACTAACAGTGATAAAACTTCTGACGAGAAAACCTATTCAAACACTCTTGCTAACGTCACACTTGAACGCACACACAGGTAAGTCATTGGTGACTGCCTGCCTAGGTGAATTAATGTAACGAATTTTAATAGCATATTTAAGGGAGTACTGAACTGACGATTTTGAATCCACCGCGCAATTCCAAGTGACGTGAATGAATTTTACGTTTTGTTATGTCGTTCAAATCTTTCGATGATTTTTTTTATTAAACTTTACCGAGCAACTTACTTTATATATATACTTGATATAAAATAATATAAATTGTGATTAAAATATCATTAGAAACGAACCAAAAAACAACTCAGTGAAATTTTACGACTCATCTCGCTTATCGCCCTTTTCGGCATTGTAAACAAAGCAGAATTTCGGAAAGCATGAAATGCGGAATCTTGGGTTTTCGTCTATCAAATCTACTATGCGGTACAACAAGGCTTCCATGACTGAAAGAAGAAGATATTGAGGTGTGTCATACTGAATTTACTCTGCCAACAATCACTCGAGTGAAGGAATCACAATCGCATCACCATGATCACCCCACCCCACCATGCCCACGGCAACTCTCGTCTGATCTGCCCAGGTTTGTCTTTAAATTCAACCTATTATTTTTCTTCCGTAATCATGGCAATTCTTTGCAATATAAAAATTCAAACAGGGGTAAAGGGGCAAGGGCACTATAACTTTTAAACCGAGATTCCTCTGACTCGAACCCCTGCTTTTTACATTGTAACCTGCACAAGTCACAATGTAAAAGCAGGGTTTAGAGTCAGAGGAATCTTGGATTACTAGTATATACCTACCGGTATAATCACACGCTAAATACAATTCTATGTGTATAACTGTCAGTTGATCTTCACATGACATAATCCAGTTGTACTCTGTCATGTGTATAGATATCTTATCATTTGAGACACTGTTATATGTATACATGTAACCCAAACAACTACCCTGAGATGCAACATCATGCAAGGTGTTGAGCACTCTATAGAATTTTTCCCATCTACATACAATTCAATATTTCACTGACTAGTCAGTAAGTTTACACTACAACAAAAGTAATGCACATACTCATAAAATTCTTTCTGCATAAAACAGTGGTATTCATTAATTATTGCATTAATGTTTGTGCCTAAGCCGCTGAAATATAAGCTCAGGTCAGGACACCCCCCCCCCCCCTTGTAATTTGCAAGGTTATTAAATTCATGTACTATAACAAGGTAAAGTTACCTTGGACATCCCTGGAGAAACTTAGACCCCCATGTTAAACGCAAATGATTTGTGTTAAATCGGTAGGAATAATCAAAGGTTTGAATTATGAGAAGTCATCGACTATAATAATATATTAATGCAGATTAAAGAATATTCCATTCAAATTAATTTCATACATTCATATAAGAATAAACATGAGAAATCAGTAAATGCTCCTCAGATGTACAAACATGTATATTTTTTTGAATAGGTATTCCTGTTTTTGTGGACGCATGAAGTCGAGATAAAAGAGAATATAGAACATTTTATATCTGCTAAATGGAGACTTTAGAAAAGGTACATGTATATGGATGGAGCTGACAGATGCTCTAAAGGCCAGTTTATTATATGGTGTACCACTGCAGTCCTCTCACACGGTGTCCTAGCTTATGGATCATCCGCTTACATTAAGGTACAATGTTATGTTTTTAAAAATGTATATTTTATGCTTATCTTAGTCTGTAATTGGTGTTATTAATTATTAAGTGAAAAAAAAATGTTTCTGTTTGCCCAACCAACTCGAGTTTATAGCCAATCCTTTTCTTTAAAATGTCCTTTTTCAATAAAAATATGAATATTCATTTTTTCACAATATTACCAAGCATAACAATTTTCATAATTAAAAACACTAATTTGACATCAGTTTTTTTTTTATTTCTTACAGTGAGTCAGAACATAATATCAGCAATGAGCGGGTAGACCATTTGAACCAATATTTTGTTCCATAAAGAACAATCACTAAACAGGCAAACAAAACTACAGGTTTGAAAATAAATGGAAGAAAATCACTGGATACAATATAATTCCTATCCCAGTATTCTGAAACTGTGGCATTGTCAACAAACTCCTTGTGGAATTATTGATACAAGATTTGAATGGAAAACTATTTGTGCATAATTCTAAATGAATTATGGATTTTATTTCAGAATTAAAACCTTTTCAGTTGGTGTTTGATACGAAAAAAGACATTCATCCTCAGTCTATTTGAAATGTCAATGGCATTAATTATGCCCTTTGAATGTTGAAGTTTTCCACATACTTAATAAGGTCAGACGACACGTTCCTCAAAAATATATAATATTACCTAAGAATTTGTCATTGAAGTATAGGTACTTAAACAAGTTTCCTCACAAAAAATTAGGGTACCTTACCAGGCATTTGGCCAAGATACCATATGGTCATATTTCTTATATAAACCGTATGGGTTATCTTCTAAATGGCCTTTAGTACAATTTTTGATGTGCCTATATTTAAAAAAAAAATGAAAACAATATAGAAATCAGTAGATAATGACAAATATGAAAAAATTGATATAATACCAAGAGATACAAAACATATATTTGAGGAAAGTGTCATCTGACCTTAATGTGATAAATACAATTTACAATTTAAAGAATTGTAAAAAAAAAAAAAAAGAAAAATTTAAAAAAATAAAGATAATAATAAAAAATAGAAAAAGATATTTTAAATAAATAGTTTGAAAAGCTTGTCAAATCATATTTTTCTTTTTCAACATTGAAAGAATAGGTGAATTCACACTTTTCAAAAGTTATGTCCTTTGGCCGCCATTTGAGGAAAAATCCAAAGAATCCTCACAGTACCCTTTATAGTTTTCTGGTTTGTAAATTTGTCATCTGAATGGAAGAATTATGTGCATCTTGTATAATGATTGCCCAAAGATGGGCCAACTCATATATATCAAAAGAAAAAAATTAAAACACAGTTGATTTATCTGAGCATGCCCAAAATATTTTGTAGCATAAAGAGGAGAAATGCCATTTCTTTCCTATTTGATTGACCTATCAAAGGGACATAACTATTGCAAAGTGTGCATTGGATTATAGTCCTTATATTCTCTATTTAGAAAAACAGTCAACAAAATACATTTAGATTTGAGCTCCTTAAAACATATTGATGGTCATTTCCCAACATTTTATTGATTTGAATCCATTTATAGTGATACATGTATAATGAAACAGCCGCAACCAAAAACATCATGTCCATTTTGTCTCTGCTCTTATTTGTATTGTTGTATCGACTTTGAGACTGAATACTGTTCGCTATCTCCATATCCTTCATGTCACAATTTATATAAAAAAAAATAATTTATAAGGCAAGATCTGCTAGCGCGCTAAATGTGGGTCAAATTTGTAAATATCCTAATACTTATTTAAAACAAAATATACTATTCTATCGATTTGTTTTGCATATTACATAGCAATTTACAAGGTATCAACTGTTTTCGGGTTACATCAATTTTCCCTGGGATGAAAACATTCACTCCACGTTGGACAATATTTCAACCTTGGAGACTAATTAGGTCTTTCCACCTTTCCGTGGAAAGACCTGTTGAAATTGTTCTGTTTATTATTATTTTTCTTTATTATTTTTCCGCCGAATGGTTTTTTGTTTTACAAGTTATCGAATAGATTTATAGTTCAAAAGAATATACTCATTAAATGATTTTTCGTTTGACCCTGCGGATATGAACTTCTACCCCTTTCGGAGTTATCGCCCCTTTCGCAAAAATGATTATTATCGCTACTCCTCTGAAACCGTAAATCGTAGAGGAAAGAAACCTTCACCAATATCTTTAACTAACTGAGAAAACTTTAAACCCTTCTTTGCAAAATTATTCATGGCCCCTTCAATAAGTTACTGCCCCTGAAAGTTCTTGAATTTACAAATAATT